TCAAAGGAAAAGTTCTTCAAGGAAATAAAAAAAAAAAACTCTCAATAATTAAGTTATTGAAGCAACATGCCTCAAAATAATGAGAGCCATCTATGACAAACCCAGAGCCAACATCACGCTGAATGGTCAAAAGCTTGATGTATTTTCCTTGAAAACTGACACAAAGCAAGGATCTACTCTCTCACCAATTCAAAATAATATTGGCAATTCTGGCCAGAGCATTAAGGCTGAAGAACTTACTCCAATATCCTAGAGAAACGAGTCATTAATGCAATCAAAATGTGGGAAACTGCCACACTTATTTATTCAGACTTCTGAGAGGTCAACATCATGCCTTATGCCTCAGAATTATCTAGTTTCTGAGGTTCTCCACAAGAAGGTAAGCTTAGAGCTAATAAAAGCAAAAGAATTCCAAAGTTGGTTGGATCAGAGTGAACATGAATTAGTTTCTGAGAAAGGCTGGCAGGTGCTGTGTGTAGGTAGAAGAGGCAGCAAGGTTTCAGATAATTTGAGTCTGCTGGAGCACAAAAATGGGGTCCGGAGCTACGTCTGCAATAAAGGTTGTAGGTAACTAAGAGCAGTCAGAAGCACACTAAGATGTCAGAACTGGGACTACTTAGGCTCCGTTAAACCAATGCACTTCATCACATTAATTTTCATTGTTTATTCTCATTCCCTTGTTTACTTATTCATTACATGATGTTCCACTCAGACCATTTTGACTTGCTTGAACATTTCTTTACTAGCTCCTTCGTGTCGGTTTTGCTTGTCAGCTACACTATTCATTTCTGGAGTAATACTAAGGCAGTTGTTGCTTGTTGATTGAACAGGCCAGTTGTAATTCCTCTGCACTCTACAGTGACATCAGGTTTCTTCAATCCAAGAAGGGCTGTTTGCACAATTAAGTTGCTTTTACTCTTATTTTTTTACTGCCAGTCAGGTACTTATCAGACTTTGTATCTTCTTTACTCTTCTATCATGACTTCATTATCCTGTAGGCCTACCAATTATGCACATTACCTAAGTGAATTATTTTGTTCACAGGCTCTACTATCAGATTTTTACATTCCCATCTAGCATTGCTGAAATTTAGTTTTGTTCAAATTTGGTTACTTTGGATAATACCATTACTACTGTGGTTTTTAAACTTTTTGAAGGTCTTTGGGGCCTATAAAAGGCACAGGGCTCTAGAAAAGTAAGTCTCCCATATTGGTGTATATAATTTAAAGACTATGTGAAATGTAGATTACTGGCTTCACTTTGAAAAATTATGATTTTCTATATATGGGGTGAGGGGGCCACAAGTATGCATTTTAAAGAAACTACAGCTTTCTCTTTTGTATGACTAATAGTGATTTGTTGATAATTCATCATAATACACTATATAGTTTAAAATGGAAAGCTTCTATTTTAGAATAATTTTAGATTTACGAAACAGTTGCAAAGGCTGTGCAGAGCATTTTCATGTACATTTCACTCAGCTTCCCCTAAAATTAATATCTTACATTGTACATGCATTTAAACAAAAAAATTAACATTGATATATTACTATTAATTAAACTTCAGACTTTATTCAGATGTGTAGATTTGTTACACCCATGTCCTTTTTTGGTGCCAGGATCCAACCCAGCCTACCACATTGAATTTAGTTCTCATGTCTCTTTAAAGTCTACGACTGGTTCTCAGCCTTTACTTCTTCCCCATGACCTTTATGGTTTTGAGGAATACTCAAGAATTTTGTAGAATGTACCTGGACTTGGGCTTGTTAGATGTTTTCTCATCATTAGACTAGGATTCTGGATTTTAGGGAAGAATACTATAGAGGTAAAGTGTCTTTCTCATTCTACCAGAGGAATACATGATACCAATGTGACTTCTTACTGCTGATATTAAAATTGATCTCCTGGTTAAAGAGAGGACTGCCAGGTTTCTCCACTAAAAGGTCACTATTTTTCCCTTTCCATATTCTGTATTTTAGAATCCAGCCCATACTCTGGGGAGGTCATTTAAATTTCACCTCCTGGAGGGAGGAGTATCTATGTATACTTCTTGAAATTCTTTTAAGAAAGATTTTTACCTTTCTCCTCATTTATTTATTTGTACAATTATTTATATCAGTATGGACTCATGGATATTTTATTTTATGCTGTGTTATAATTTTTAAATTTTAATTCATTTTGTTGCTTAAATTGTCTTAACTTTGGCCACTGAGTACTCTTTCAGTTTGGCTCCTGATCTGTTTTTATTCTTTTGTTTTCTGAGTACTTCTGTATTTTCTGGCGTAACATAATACTCCAGGCCCATCTTTTGTTTTCACTGCCACCACAGGCCTAGAATTACTCCTTTCTCCAAGGATGTCTGTTTCGTGTTTTGCTTTGTTATTTTGGAGAATGGTATTTAGAAACCAAGACCTGGGCACTGGATGTACTTGTTGTTACTTGGGTGTCATTTTTTTTTCCTAGTTTCTCAGCAAACAGAACTATAAAATCTATGCATGTATAGTAACCAATATATACACACACCTATAGTTATTTCTTTAGCTATTAATCTCTGTACATGTTAAACTATATTACACATTTTTTGTTTTATGTTCTTTATTTTCTTATTAAGTTTTAAGAGTTATTTATGTATTCTGGATATGTGTTTTTTATATAATAATCTACTTTGAAAAGTGAAAAAAATAAAGTGGCTGTAAGTACAAAAACTGTTTTAAGGAACAGTCACATGAAAATTTTTGAAGATGTCCAGTTGAACTTTAGAAATTTCAATGTGTGTTTTTCTGTGCGATTATTTAGAATATAGAAGTTTTATTCAAACCCTCACCCATTTTAGACAAGTGAGTACTCACATGAGCTTGCTAGTTAGAATACTGTTAAAGAGAATTGTTGAAGCATTGGCTCTTGAATTTAATATACATTCCATGGAATTTTTTTAAGTAAGAAAGTTAAAAAAATTGGTCTTACCAACTTCACATTATGAAATCTACTAAACGTCTTGAGACCTTAACATAGATTCTTATAATCAATAAATGAAAATATTTGTGATATGTAAATATATGATGTTTGCTTCTCCTTTAGACATGGAATATAGAATATTTTTATTTTCAAATTGTAGTAATATATTAAAAAACAACAATTTTATTGGATGCTTATTTTGTTCCAGACACTATACAAAATCATATTATATAGACTAACTTGATTTACACATAAATTATTTATTTGATTTAATGAGAAACCTGATAGAAATATATATTCTGTCTATTTTGCAAGGGAGGAGCCAAAAGGAAGAGAGGCATTGATCATGCCTCATTTAGAAGGAGGAGCAAAGGTATACCTGCTAGTAATGGTAGAAAATATTGTTCAGTTGCGCCTAACAAGGGAAATAAGAAACCTTGTTTTCAAAAATGAATAAGAATGTACAGAAAAAATTACTATATGAGAAAAAAATGATATGCTTAAGGAATAATGCAGGTTGAATCTGTCTATAATTAATTTTTTTAACCTATGAAATGCTTTTTCATAGGTATTGTTTTAAGTTTTTAAGCATTATAAGAGATAAAAATTTAAATGATATTATTCAAAGGAAAATAAAGGATGGCCACTGGACGGGGTGCAGGGCCAGGGGGCGGTATAAAGACACTGAGATTGGAAAGGAAGACAGAAAACCGTCTTTATTCACAGATGAAATTATCATATATACAGAAAATTCAATGAAATGTACAAAAATGCTCCTGAACATAATGAGCGAGTTTACCAAGGTTGTATGATACAAGATGGATATACAAAAATCAATATTTATATATGCTAACAACAAAAAATTGGAAATCGAATTTAAAAAGTACTATATATAATAGTATGAAAAAACATTTAGAAAAAATCTGGAGAGAAAAAGATGTGAAAGACACACAGACTAAAAAATAAAAAATATTCCTGAGTAAATGCAAAATCACATAAACAAATGGAAAGATAAACCTTCCTCAGCGGTCAGAAGATTTCCTATTGTTAATATGCCAATTATCTTCAAATTGATCTATAGCTTCAACAGAATCCTAATCAAAATCCAAACAGGACTTTTTTTTTAAGACATAAACAAACTGATTTTAAAATTTCTGTAGAAATTCAAAGGACCCAAAAAACGAACTTTGTAAAAGAACATTGTTAAAGAACTAGTATAGCCTAATTACTAAACTTAATACAAAGCTAAAGTAATCAACAGATTGTGAAATTTGTGTGAGAGAAAAATCAATGGAAGAGAAAAGAGTGCCCAGAAATCGATCCTCAAAAAATATAGACAACTGATATTCTACCAATTTCCAAATATAATTAAATGGAGAAAAGATTGTCTTTACAAAAATAGTTCTGAAATTATCAGACATACATAAGTAATAGATACTTTTTTTTATATGTAACTCTTTTATTAATGAGAAAACCAGTAAGATGTCACAAGTTTAAAGGAAAAATCTGAAGAACAGACACATATATGTAGACAATCACAAAGGATGAAATAAAATTGCTAGTAGTTGCAAAACTTGTTAATAGGCCCATAAAATGTAATGGTTGGAATCATCTTTTCTACAAGGGAAAATCAAATTTATCTCTATTGGACAAAATTCATTTGCATCTCTATGGATAAGGATCATTTGCATCACTATCCGTTTTCTACAGCTTACAGAGTTGTAAACTAGCTTAGCTGAAGGCAGTGAAAGAAAGGCACAGAACCCTATAAAATCAGAAAAGCCACAAGGGTCTTCTAGACAAGGCCTATCTTTTCATTGAAAGGATATTCAGTAATCTTTTGACCATTCCAAAGTCTTGCACAATCTTTCTGAGAGATTTATACTTATTTTTCGAGTACAGCAGCCAGGCAGGGCGATTTTGTCAATAGATTCCTTAAAACAGTAATGATGTTTACAGAAGATCTCCATTAAGCAGTTACCACTTTCCTACTCTATCTCCTTTTCCTCCCCCTCGCAATATGTCTGTTTGTTTCAAATAATCATCATGGAAGATTTGGTATTGGAGTAATGCAGAAAATTTTAGTATTACATCTAACAAAGCTTGACTTAAGAAGAGCTAATAAATTGTTTACCATATACCTGTTAACAGGTGGTTTACTCTTAATACTTTCAAACCACTTACTAAACGTTGACCAACTATCTGCCCCACTTGTTGCCTGCAAAGTAGTCTCAAAACCAAGCAAACTAGGAGTTTCTCGGCATGTTTTATTTTCATTAAAACACACTGTTAAAATAAAGACTTCGATCTATATTTTGCTGCTGTTTACAAAAATTAAAACAGATTTAAATGAAAAAAATCGTTGTGGCCTTTGGATAGGCAAAGTTTTCACATACATCAAAAGAAGCGCAATTCGTAAAAGAACAAATTGATAAATTGGACTTCGTCAAATTAAAAAACTTCTCTTTGACAATGTTAAGACAATGAAAGGGAAAAGCCAAGGATGAACTGAAAAATTTGCAAAACATCTATGTGATAACCTATTTACATCCAGAACACAAAAGGATTTGCAAAACTAAATATGATATCCAGCAACACACTGTAAAAAAGGGGAAAAAAATTAATAGAAACCCCAACCAGGGAGAGATAAGGATGGCAAATAAGCAAATACAGAGATGTTCAATACCAGCAGTTATTAGGAAATGCAAATGAAACCCAGAATAAGATTCCACTACACACCTGTCAGAATCCAGGCTGCTCAGGTGATGTCAGCACTGTCGGGCCTCCAGGAAGTACCTGGGTTACGCGTGGCTCTTCACGGTCTCCTATCGACTAGAGCCGCAGGGATCAGGAACCGCGGAAGCTGGAGAGGTGACGCCCAAGCGAGGGCCACCATAGGGGACCAGAGGCCACAGGACTGATGAGGTACCTGGGCATGGACTCCAAGCCCTTGGTACTGTGACATACCGCTTTCCAAGTGCTTCATAGAGGACAAGCACAGGCGCCCGAAGTTCCCGCCCGTGGACACCCGTAACTGGATATTTATTAAGGAGAGCACGGACGACTTTTGCTACGGCACCGCATCCGCTACGGCACCGCATCCGCTACGGCACGACATCCGCTACGGCACGACATCCGCTACGGCACGACTTCCGCTACGGCACAACTTCCACTACGGCTGTACGTCTCCCGAAGATACGCACATTTGTTGTCGTGAGGAGTTCTTACTCCCCAAAATCTCTCGCAAAGGACCCCAGGCTGACCCCAAAAGCAAGCAGAAAAAGCTGCTCAAGAAAGCGGCCCTATTTTGCAAACTCGCCAGCCCAGCTAACACGTAAGGCGTTCGTAGAGGAAGTGGAAGGCCAGCTTATAGCTGAACATTCCTTGGCCATGGACCCTAATCTGGGAGAAGATATGCCTCCAGATCTCCTACGACAGGTGCTGAAACTACTGGATCCTGAGAGGAAGCTGGACGGTGCATGGGCTTGTTGTGAGAACTGGGAGAAGGCAACCGAGGAACCCACCGAGTCTGGTAAATACCCTTGTGGGGAATTCGGCCCGCAGCCTCCCGAGACTCTGGTATCACATTTCCATCCAGAGTCTCCTGAGACTGAAGTGTCCCATCTCCATTCAGAGCCTTCGGAGACTGGAGTATCCTATCTCGGCCCCGAGCCACCTGAGACTGGAGTGTCCCATCTCCGTCCAGAGCCTCCTGAGATTGGAGTGTCCCATTTCCACCTGCAGCCTCCTGAGACTGGAGTGTCCCATCTCTGTCCAGAGCCGCTGGAGACTCGAATGTCCAGTTTCGTCCTGGAGCCTCCCAAGACTCGTCGGATGTCGGGTCTTTACCTGGAGCCTCCTGAAACTCGCGTATCTCATCTCCGCCCAGAGCCTCCTGAGACTGGAGTGTCCCTTCTCTGCCCGGAACCTCCCAACACTCGTCGGGTGTCCCATCTCCTACTACAGGTTCTGAAACTGCTGCATATTGAGAGGAAGCTGGAGGACGCATGGGCTTGTTGTGAGGCCTGGGGGAAGGCAACTGAGAAAACCACCGAGCCTGGTAAACACCCTTGTGGAGAACTCTGCCCGAAGCCTGCCGAGACTCTAGTATCCCATCTCAGCCCGGAGCCTCCCAACACTAGTAGGGTGTCCAGTCTCCACCCAGAGCCTCCCAAGACTCATCGGGTGTCCAGTCTGTGCCCGGAGCCTCCCGAGAATCGTCGAGTGTCCAGTCTCTGCCCGGAGCCTCTGAAGACTAGAGTGTCTCATGTCCTCCCAGATCCTCCCAACACGCGTCAGGTGTCCAGTCTCTGCCCGGAGCCTCCTGAGACTGGAGTGTCTCATGTCCTCCCGGATCCTCCCAACACGCGTCAGGTGTCCAGTCTCCACCTGGAGTCTCCCAAGACGCGGGTGTCCAGTCTCTGCTCGGAGCCTCCTAAGACTTGTCAAGTGTCCAGTCTCTGCCCGGAGCCTCCTGAAACTGGAGTGTCCCATCTCTGCCCTGAACCTCCCATCACTTGTCGGGCATCCTATCTCCTACTACAGGTGCTGAAATTGCTGGATACTGAGAAGAAGCTGGAGGACATATGGGCTCGTGGTGAGGCCTGGGAGACAGCAACCAAGGAACCCATCGAGACTGATGAATACCGTTATGAGGAAGTCCGCCCGCAGCCTCCCGAGACTGGAGTGTTCCATCTCTGCCTGGAGCCTCCCAAGACTTGCCTAACTCATCTCCGCTCAGAGCCTCGAGACTCGTTTATCTCATCTTTGCCCAGAACCTCCCGAGACTTGCCTATCTCATCTCCAACGGGAGCTTCCCAAGACTCGTCAGGTGTCCAGTCTCCGCCCGCAGCCTCCCAAGACTGGAGTGTCCCATCTCCTATTGGAGCCTCCCAAGACGCCCTGGGTGTCCAGTCTCCAGCAGGAGTCCCCCAAGACGCAGGTGTCCAGTCTCTGCCTGGAGCCTCTCGAGACTGGAGTGTCTCATCCTCTCCTGGAGCCTCCCAAGACTCGTCGGGTGTCCAGTCTCCATCTGGAGTCTCCCAAGACGCGGGTGTCCAGTCTCTGCCCTGAGCCTCCCAAGACTGGAGTGTCCCATCCCCGCCTGGAACCTCCCAACACTCGTTGGTTGTGCAGTCTCCTACTACAGGTACCGAAACTGCTGAATGCTGAGAGGAAGCAGGAGGACGAATGGTCTCATTGTGAGAACCAGGAGAAGACAACCGACAAACCCACCAAGCCTGGTAAATACCCTCGTGGGGAATTCTGCCTGAGGCCTCCTGAGACGCAGGTGTCCCATTTCTGCCTGTAGCCTCCTGAGACTCGAGTATCTCATCTCCGCCCGGAGCCTCCCGAGACTTGTCGGGTGTCCAGTCTCCGCCTGGAGCCTCCCAAGACTCGGGGCTCCAGTCTCCACCCGGAGCGTCCCAAGACTCATCGGTGGTCCAGTCTCCCCCCAGAGCCTCCCAAAAACTTGTCAGGTGTCCAGTCACTGCCCGGAGCCTCCTAAGACTGAAGTGTCTCGTCTCCACCCGCAGCCTCCCAAAGCTCCAGTGTCCCATCAGTTCTCAGAGCCTCCTAAGATTTAAGCGTCCCATCTAGAAGAACTGCTTCAGGAAGATAACACCAAGCACAACAGAATGCGTTTCTGACTCTCTTCAACATAGATACACATTGAGAAAATTCAGTGAGTTCTTCAAGTGGGTTCCAGGCATGGGAGTTGATGAAAAGTGCATCAGGAGTCTGTATGACTTTACCTCTGAGTGCGAAGCAACCTATCAAGACCAACAGACTAAGAAGATAAAAGAGTGGTCCTCAGAGCTGCACTACAGCATGGAGCTAGATGAAATGGATGAGGTCGAATTCTCTTTATGGCTCCGGACGCCACCGAATTCTTAAACTGCACAGCCTGTGAAGATGAGGCATGGAGGAGCATGATACCTCAAGCCTACGTTGTGGAAAGAGCTAAGAAGTGATGAACCTTTGATTGACCCCAATCTCTTACTTGAAAAGCCTGAGGAACCCGACATTTTTGACGATCTTTATGGACCAGTTGCCTTTAAAGATTTCATTCTAAGCAAGGGCTGCGAAATGCCTGGCGTCATCGAAAGGCGGTTTACCAGGAAGGGATGGACTTATATCTCTGTTAAGACTCCTCTTCAAGGCGCAATTCAAGTTTACAAATGCAAAGAAGACAACGCGGCACAGATGCATCGGAAGAAGATTAGATGGTTTTCAATTTACTACTTAATTAGGTATTTCCTGCACTCATTTTAAACATCAGTCAGAATTTATGATGACTAACCCTATGGATGTACAACTTTGGCAACATCTGTACATTCAATACCTAATGTTTATAAATATTTCTTAATGATCTGCTTTGACTTCATTATTTTATATATTTTATCTATTATGTGAAGAATTCTTTTATATCTGGTTGTATGTATTTTTGCAAATAATTGACATGATGATGTAATATTCACAATGCTTCAAAAATGTGAGAAAAGTATATGTGAATATTAATCACATAACTGATAAAATATATAAAATAATGAAGTCAAAGCAGATCATTAAGAAATATTTCTTATTTTTTGGAAACAGAGTTTCGCTCTTGTTGCCCAGGCTGGAGTGCAGTGGCATGATCTCAGCTCACTGTAACCTCTGCCTCTCAGGTTTAAGAGATTCCCCTGCTTTAGCCTCCCAAGTAGCTGGGATTACAGGCATGCACCACCACACCTGGCTAGTTTTGTATTTTTAGTAGAGACAGGGTTTCTCCATGTTGGTCAGGCTGGTCTCGAACTCCTTACCTCAGGTGATCCACCCGCCTCGGCACTCCTCAAGTGGTGGGATTACAGGCGTGAGCCACCACGCCTGGCCAAGAATTATTCTTAAAAAGAGAAATGGGGTTGGGGACATTGGCTCATGCCTATAATCCCTCCCCCTCTTTGGGAAGCCCAGGTGGGTGGATTGCTTGAGCCCAGAGGTTAGGGACAGTCTGGGCAACATGGTGCAACCTGGTCTCTATAAAAAATACAAAAATTAGCCAGGCATAGTGGTGCACACCTGTAGTCCTACCTACCCAGGGGGCTGAGAGGGGAGGATTGCTTCTGCACAGGAGGTTAAGACTGTAGTGAGCCACGACCATACCACTGCACTACAGTATGGGTGACAGAGCAAGACCCTGTCTCAAACAAACAAAAAACCAAAATGTGCTGAGTAAAAGGAGAATTGTATAACTCTACTTATATTGAAATTGTAATGAAATAATTATGACAATTATTTTGTTAATCAAAAATTGGAGTCTATAGCCAAAATAATGTTAACACTTTTTAGTAGTAAAATTGTTGTCTACCCCTTTGGGATTACATCAAACCCCCAAAACCAGTTTGAAAACTATTTATCAAAATCATAGGTGAAACTTGAGTAATGCCATTTTATCATATCTCTCAATTGAATGTATGTAAATTTTCACCATGTTCATAAACCTTCACTACAAAAGATTATTAGTAAATCATATAAACAGGTGCAGAATAGGAGGCAGCTTCAACTCCCTGGCAAATCTCATGTGCGAAATAGATCTGCATGAGAAAAGCTACCAAGCAACATCAAATATACTTACATATCTGTTCAAGTTCAAATAATTTTCATTTCACTAATAGCAATTTGAAACACACTCATAAGTTTAAAATAATAAATCAAGCAACTGCTTTACCTTTCAAAAATAGCAGGTAAAACTGTCTGGTAGAGGTAAATTTGTAGGTAAATATATTTGTAGTGTAGTAACCACTGAGTAGGGCTTCTATTGCTTATTGGCACCTTTTCTTTCAGTGATGAATCCATCTGTACATGGAAGTATATGCATATATTTCATCCAAGTAAGCAGTGATATATACATCTGTCTATAAACAAATTCTGTTTGTAGTGAAGTTTGTCTGTGGGCATTATGTTCCTGAAGAACCAAATCTTTTTTTTTTATGTTGTTTTCTAAGCCAGGGCCTAGAATGTCTCCTCAAATTCATCATCATAAACTTAGCTTCATGTCACCACTATGTCTTACTGTATTTCTGCAATGGTTTCCAACTTGTGTCTCTTCTTGAGTGTATCTTTGCAAAATACAAGCACAGCTTATTAATTATCCAGGCTCATCTAAACTTACCTCAGTACATAAGCACTCACACACATGTGCACATACATATATGCACATGCTCCTGCATTCCAGACTCCAGGCAATATTCCTTTTCTTACCTCTGTGTCTTTCTTGTGTCTTCATACATAATATTCTCTTTTGTTAGAACTTCACTCAGACCATGTAATCTTGTTTCAGAGCTCTCCCCACCAAGGTCAATTTCATGATTACTTATATTAAAATCCTATGTCTGTATATAAGGACACTCATTTTCCAGTTGTCTTCCACTGAAGAATTCACTTTAATATCCTAGAGAAATGAGTCATGAATGCCTTCACAATAAGGGAAACCCCCATACTTATTTATTCAGACTTCTGAGAGGCCAATATCATGCCTTATGGCTCAGAGTTATCTGGTTTCTGAGGTTCTCAACTGAAGCTTTGGGCTTCATGCAGCAGCATTCAATATTCACTTTCTTTCAGCAAGAAACAGATCTACTTTTCCACATTTGATTATGTGACCTTGCACTTCACAGAGGATGTATCCTCATCTACACAATGGACACCATATAATCAAACTCAAATCTGAGAGAGACCTAAAGGATTACCTATTAAAGTGCCTAATGCCTCATGCATCACAGAATTGATCCTCAACATATATTTGTGGAAGAGGAGGGAATAGGATAGGAAGAAAGGTACTAAAAATATCACAACAGAAAGATACTATTAAAAAATAACTTTTTGATGATGTTTATCTGGTGATAGTCTTCACCTATATCACACACAATCGTAGTCATTGCTTAAGATAAAAATGTGGTACTTGCTTTGGCTGCACGTACACTAAAATTAATATGAAAAGTGTAATTACAAAATAAGAGCCACTGATTAGGGCTTCTATTGCTTATTGGCAATGACTACTTTCAGTGAAATAAACTTTCCTCAGAGAAATTATGCGGGTTTCTCACACCGTAATTACACACATTGGTATTATTTGTCACACAGATAGAAACAATATTTGATCTGTTTGGATTTTTAACACCAGCTGGTCTTCTGAAAACATCCTGACTTCAAATCCATAGATTTTATGAAAAGACGGAATTCAAGAGACCATGATATATAATTGTCGCTATGTAGCCTAAAGCTATGAATGGTATACTCCATAAATGCTGTAATAATCAATTGTATTACAGCATCACATAGGTTTCATAAAAGCTTTGGAGAATTGGACTGAAGGAACGTGATTTAACAAAAATGATGGCAATTATTTTTCATTTCTAAAGTCTGCATGAATGAGCAAGGCCTTTGGTGCTAGGTAAAAATGAGTTCATATCTCAGCACTGCCATGGTCTTATCCTGTAACTATAGGCAGAGCAGACAGAGGGAAAACACAGAGGCTCTGCTGAAGGAGGAAGAAGGTAGGAACTTTTCCCGGGGGCTACTGTACACTGGAATGTGTTCCTGGTTCCCAGTGACTCCTACAGAGGGAGTGAGTTTAACAGGCAAGGAGCAACCCACTCTCACTGTGGGCCTTTGGAGTCTCAGCAGGAGACCCCCTCAACCACCATGGACACTTGAGTTGGCAGGGAAAGCTACTTAAAGAAGTGGTAGGGGCAGAATTCCAGCCAAGGGCAGAGCAAAGAGAGTGTCTGATGGGAGCAACTGGAGTGAAGCACTGTCAGAGATGTGCACCCCCCAGGCTAGAATTGTATAGGAGACTGCACAGGAGTCTCCTAGACTCGCATAGGAGAATTTAGCCCTAGGGGAACTTTCAGACCTGAACTTTGCAGGGCAGTCTTACCCATGAGACAAGACCAGTCCAATCTGAGCACCTCTCAGTCTTCTGGCCTCTTGCGGGGCTCCAGCCTGGCCACAGCTGCCTGCAGTACAGCTGCCAGGTGCCCCCGGGGCCCACACCATACCTAGTGGACCATACTTGACTGGCAGTGTTCCAGCAGAGTGGCCTCTGCAGACACACAACAGGTTGTTCACACCCATGGCCACCCTCCACATCACTATGCTAGTGTGTGTATGCCCAGGCAGACCTAGCCTTCCCTTCTCCATCAGCACACTGGTACTAGTAACCTGCACCCTGCCATGCCATTGTTGCTGGTGTGAGTGCACCCCCTCACCAACCTCACCCTGCCACACTGTGAGGGATTGATCAGGGTGGCTGGCAAAATTACAAACATTGTAGAATAATTGCAAACCTTCTTGGAAGGCAGGGAGGTTTTTGTTAAAGCTTCAGGAAAGAATTGGCCCAAGGCTGCTAGCTCTTTTATCTTGAGGCTTGAAGCATAGGGCAGTTAACAAGGAGTTTATCTAAATGGCTTGTTGTCCTAAGACCAAACTTTGCCCCTCTGCAGGGGGTGGGCAGAAGTTAATGATCCTCTAATGGTGTTTATCCAAAGACCCTTGTCCTTTGATCTATACTAAATAAAAGCCTACAGGGCCAGCGAGTGGGAGAGTGGGGACTGGAGGCTGTTAACTCCTTTGGGTGAATGGCCTGGACATCCCAGCCCACTCTTTCACTGAAAATAAGTGTCTGAGTGAATTTATTCATCTGTATTTGGGTCAGGATCTGCCTGTCAGACCCCGACACCACACTGCTTCAAAACATCAGCAGGGACAGAACCCCTCAGCCCCACCCTTGCCAGCACCCTGCCCCTGAGCCTCAGCCACCAGAGCAAAACTAGGCATGAAAAACAGTAGACTAGCCCCCAGCCTTGAGCAGACTGCTGCCAGCTTGAACATACACAGAGGACGTACATAGTCCTGAACCCACCAATGCTCCATCTCTATGCTAAAACCACCATCTGTAGGGATAGGCACATAGTCCCAATGGGCGCTCCTCGCCCCCACCAAGCCAAACTGCAACCACTGCTGCTGTGAATACCCACATCAAGGCTAGCATCCCAGCACCCATGAGAACCATGCTACAGAAAATGGACAAGTGTGCACCCTGCAATGCTACTGCAGCAGTTGCTGCTGGTTCATGGGAACAAGGACAGATCTTACTGTCACTGCCCTGTGAAGTGCTTCGGCTGGCACCATCCACTAGAGTGTTGAGACCAGTGGTCTTGTAGCACCTCAGCCTCTCCAGTAC